GTTTGTTCGAATATATATATATATATATATGTATATATATGTATATATATATATGTGTGTGTGTGTGTGTGTGTGTGTGTGTGTGTGTGTGTATATGTATGTATATGTATGTATATGTATATATATATTATATATATATATATATATATATATATATATATATATATATATATATATGTATGTATGTATATGTATGTATATGTATGTATATGTATGTATATGTATGTATATATATATGTATATGTATGTATTATGTATGTATGTATATATGTGTATGTATATTATGTATATGTATATATGTATATGTATATATATATATATGTATATATATATATGTATATATATATATGTATATATATATATATATGTATATATATGTATATATATATATATATATATATAGTATATATATATATATATATGTATATATATATATATATATATATGTATATATATATATATATATGTATATATATATATATATGTATATATATATATGTATATGTATATATGTATATATGTATATATATGTATGTATATATATGTATATATATGTATATATGTATATGTATATGTGTATATATGTATATGTATATATGTGTATATATGTATATATGTTATGTGTATATCTGTATATATGTATATGTGTATGTATATGTGTATATATGTATATGTGTACATATATATACATATATATACATATACATATATATTACGTATATATATATATACACATATATATGTGTATATATATGAGTCGCGGGCGCATCCAATTTCTAATATCAACCTTCTTACTCTTCACCTCTCTTCCTTATAATTCCTATCATCATTGGAAGCATAAAATTACCCAGGCTGAGTGAGTTTTGAATAATCTTACAATGTGTTACATGTATTTTAGCCAAACCTGTAGCTTCCCTTAGCAGTAGAAGAACAAGAAAGGGGCTTTCTGATGAAATTGTATGCAGCCGAATTCTGCGCTCACATGCGCCCCCCCTGAGGCTGGGCTCATTTGGTTACATTACAAGCCATGGTTTGAGCGCGATTGAGACCCATATTTGTTTCAAAAACACAATTTATGACCCATCCTCTCAACTGTAGACATGTTGATTGTAAAGGAAATATGTTTGAACTTTATAAACCACAATAAACAGAGAAAACAGTTCGATAGCAGTGCTCGGGCTCCTGCCTCTGTGAACTACAGGCATTTACGTCTCCCAAGTATCTCTGTCAAATATGAGAAGAATATGACAAAAAACTGCAATCTCAAGGTAAAAATGAAATAAGGCAAAGTTACATGAAAATAATACAAAAACATAAATCACTTGATATAGTGACCAAGTATTATTATTTCCATTCTATTATTTTTTCTTCCTTTTTTTCTTATGATCGTAGGTGAGGCCAGGCCTCACCTGCCTCATCTGACCGCACGTCACTGGAATAAGCGGCCCGCTCAGACTCTACTCAGCACTTTTCACGGCTTGAACTCATACACCGCTGAATCAATGACCTCAAGTTTTCAATTAAATTACGGATTATAATACAACTTGCAGTGTTGTGCCAGTTCACAACTTTTCTGAACTAGTTCAAGTTCAGTTCATACATGCTCATAGTGAACAGTTCACGTTCAAAGCTCACAATTTTAATTCTGAACTAGTTCAAAGTTCAGTTCATTTTACTTTTTGCGAGAGATATTCAAAAAAATACTTTTTTTCACTACGAGCTAGAAATCACTATACGTGGTATATATATATATATATATATATATATATATATATATATATATATATATATATATCTCCTGTACACTGCACAGGATGTTTTGACTCCAATGCAGACAAGATTTACATGGGTTTCAATGGGAACTGAGTTGTCCCATCTCTGCTCATAAGTACAAACTGTAATGCGCTGCAGTGTGTGTGTCTATACTTTATGTCAAATGTAAACGGTCCTGTGTTACTGACTTACCCCTGTGTTTTCATCACGGCACATGTGAGTCTAACAACCAATGAATAGCACTAGCATACAGCGCCGCACCGCAAGTAGTACACTGAGTCGGGGTGCGTTCACAGACGGTGGAAACCGTGGGAATTTTTAGTTTTCGGCGGAAACAGTGCGGAGACTACAGGAGGGAGGAACTTTCTTTCGTTGCGTTTCAAAAGAGAAAACAGATTTCACTCAGTTTTCAATGGAAAACAACTTGTCTGCCGTTCATGACACATAATATGAACTAATTCACGTTCAAGTTCTTCATTAAAAAATGTGTTGCGTTCAGCTCAACGTTCACGAAAAAATGAGCGTGTTCAATGAACGCGTTCTTTTGAACTCGTTCACGCACAACACTGACAACTTGTATGTAGTAATAAGCATTTTTATAAACTACTTAGAAAAAAAATCGGGTATAGCTTCTTTAAGTGTGCCTTAAACTTAACCTTAGATTTGGTTCAAAAGGTTGCGTTACCTCTGAAATTCCGATAGACATGTTTTAGCTGACATAATAGGCGCAGCTAAACATCTGCTCTAGTAGCTATGATAATTCAAAAGTCGTTAGATTAGAGCTAATTCCTTTATGACAGTGGTTGATTGGCCTATTTTATTACAAAGATCCATGCCTTCTTTGTGATTATATATCAACTATGTTCTAATTATTTACTCATATGGTTGTCTAGAAGTGGAAACAATGAATGAAATTATCAGTAAATATTTCGTCTCACTAGGTGTCTGCGTAGGTTTCCTCCGGGTACTCCGGTTTCCCCTACCACTAAAAATATGTACAATAGGTCTGGCATGCGCCTCCCGTAGCATCATCACAGCGGAAGTTTGGTAAAGTTAAAGTCCGATTCGGACTTCCGTAGTCAATAGCTCACAAAAGCTACTTTGTTAAAGAAAAGTAATTGTGCCAAAATGATCACATTTACATTGATTGTTCAAATCCAATGCGCTGTTTTAATGCAGAGAAATCCATTGCTGCCAGCGCCAAGAAAAGCGCTCAGGGAGCGCCAACAAATGTCAAGACCAGCTTTGTAAACGAAGAATAGCTTTTATTGAAGCTATGTACACGCACTAAATTCTCAGACACTATAAATAATTACCATATATAACTGCTACAGACTTTGATTTCAACATTTGTGAGTTTTTTACATTTTAAATGAATACATGTTTTCTTTTTTTAAATTGCTATTACAGTAAAAGGTCTTTACTGTAACATACTGTACATAAATAATGTATGTTAGAGATTTTTGACTAAGGATTTGTTTTGTTTGTTTTATATGCAGTCAATAAATTAAGTTCTAAAAACTGATTTTGAAATTCCATTATTCCTGTGTAGATTGAAATTAGGACTAAAACGTGCTCAATCCAATCCACCCAAATGGTGTCCCTTATTTTTCTGTTCTCAAGTTGGCAATCCTACCCACTAACCACAGGGTCTTCAGTTAAATCTGCATTTCAAAAGCATGGTGTATTAAATACTGGATGAAATAATTGTGATTTTGTTTGTGGAGACTGGACACACCTGATTTTCTAAACTAAAAAAGTATATAGATTCTAATATATAAATAAGTCACAATCACATATTTTATGCAAGAACCTGCAAGACCTATTGAAATTCACACACCAAATTATACCGCTATATATATACCGTTTACCGTCTGTGTCCCAAATTATACCGCAATATGAATTTCAAGCCATATCTCCCACCCCTACTTGTGGATTAATAACTAGCCTACATAATCGCATAATCAGGTGTTTTCCCAATAACAAGCTCATGAGGATAAAATGGATAGAAAGGCTTTGTACAAAATAGCCCATGTGAACTCCGTAGAAGTACTGTGAAGGTAGAATGACGTCTAGCTCTTGTGTGTTTGTCTTTGTCACTGACCTCTTCCCAGCAGCAGAGAAGCCCTTGGGGCGCTTTAGAGGGAAATGTACGTTTTGCAAAAATGTCCCTTTCCCCAGACATAATGCCACAGCAAATCCAGGTCCTGCGTTTTACCGTCAGCCACGTCCAACGCACAGTCTGTAGTGTTTTCTGGCTCTCTTCTCGTTGCTGAATATTCATGCAGTTATTTAAAGCTACGCAAGTCTTTCATTTTCTGCTGGTTTTCTGAGGCACAGAGGACTTTGTGAAACTGTTTGACCAGTCTATAAAAACAATTCAGTTTTGCGTCTGTTTTTTGAATCTTTATATAGAGTGTTTTAGCCATTATAATCCAGAATACTGCAAAGACAACATCCCTTTTCCACCATCTTTGCCTCTACCTTCTATGGAAGCCCGTTTCCGCCATGTAAAAAAAAAAAAAAACATACAGAAAGTCAAAATTTTGAGTTTAAAACTCAAAATGACAACTTTTAAAAGTCAAAATTTTGACTTTAAAAGTCAAAATTACGAGTTTTCAACTACGCATGTGCAGTTGAAAACTCGTATGTATTGTTGTCTGGAACGGTCTCTGGTCATCCCTGTTATAGATCCATGGGTCATCCTCTACCTGCAGATTATATGAAGATTTTGCCTACAGACAGTGACCACATCCATGAAGTAGCCAGCAATAATGTTGTGGTAATCGCGTTAAAATGCAAACGGTCTCTCCGTTTATGATTAGAATCCGCTTCAGAAGCCTTTATTTAATTTATCCTAAACGGACTGTGGAAGATTAATAATAAAACACATGCGGCTGTTCAAAGTCATTGAGCATCAACTGGTGACATCTTGTCAGTATCACGGCTATCGATGGATGCACCATTAAAGTCAAAATTTTGAGTTTAAAAGTCGTAATTTTGACTTTCTGTAGGCTTTTTTTTTTTTTTTTTTTTTACATGTCGGAAACGGGCTTCCATAACCTTCCCCTTCTTTTTTGTAAAAATATACATGTGTCTGAGGTGGTGTCTAAAAAATCTTTGAGCTTTGTTCTTTTTTGTAAACATGAAAACTGATTTGGTGTTATTCTAATATCAGAAGCTTATAAAGATGTTCATGCATTAACATTTTGTTTTTATTTTGTCAGGTCTTCCGGAGAAAAGCCGTGGAGCTGGGAGAGAAGCTGCTGCCGGCTTTCAAGACGCCCACTGGGATCCCCTGGGCTCTGCTCAACCTGAAGAGGTAGGTCCTGCTTCCACCCACACATTCTGTCTACATCCGTGGAATCCTGCTCCGAGCCAAACACAATGGAACGCTCACATGAAGAAGACCAACCAAGAACTGCAGCATGTACAGTAAATGCCTAGTATACTGTATGATGCAGCTAGCACCAATTTGACTTTCTGATTGAAGTGAATGGAATGTAAGGTTGCTGGTTCTTTAAATCATTGAAATGGTTTTGAAAACATTGGCAAAATTTGACCACAAAATGCATTTGATTTGAGATGGTGGCATCCAATTGTGTCCCTTCAAGACGTATCTGGCCAGATAAAGATCAATACACATGTCTCTTGTATTAATTCTTCAATTCTCTCCATGGTCTTGCACCAAAGAACATCTGTGTCATATAAGTGCAGTGGGGGGGGCGCTTCATGATGCAGAAATAGTAGGGCAACATGTACTAGTGTGTCCTTGCATTTAGCCTAGTGCTAGCGTCAACTTTTTGCCGCTTTTTCTTTCTCAACTTTTTCTTTCTCATCTCTAACTCTTTAATGGTTTCCTCAACCATTTGGTAAATCGCTTTGTCAGTCACTATATCTACTTGGAACTGAAATGTACTTCTTATGGGAATCTTACTTGGTTTTAGGCACTTTTACCATCAAACCATCAAATTTGGAATAGGCCTATAATTAAAAAGAACTAGGGGTTCTAGTGTTACATCTTAGTTTTTAGTTTTAACATGAAAAACATCAGCAATTTATAATCTCACAAATGCAGAACCAAAAAAAAAACGACGTTGAAGCAATAACTTCTCGATACAAGACTTGAAGTTCCAGGTTGGAACCCCATCACGATATTCATTCTCAGCTTCATCACATAAAAATATATATTAATATGCATTTGTATACAGTGGACTCCTGAAGTTCACATATGCAAAAGCTTCGTTACTAATACAAAAAATAATTACATTGCTCAATACGATAATAGTGACTTTCTACAAAGTCAAACGTTTAGTTCCAGACAGGGAGCAAAAAAAAACCTTCCTACACAGTGGTAGCAGCAGTCGCTCAGTTGGCAGAGTGCGTGTCCTCTGATCTGAAGGTTGGCGGATCGAATCTTGCTGTTGACATGAACATCATTTGTTGGCAGGTGTGAAACCACATTTATCCAGTCTCTGCGTACACTGATGTATGAATGTGTGGGTGAATGGTTCCTTGAAGTAAAACGCTTTGATCGCCCTGAAAGCTGGAAAAAGGGCTTTATAAATGTGACCATTTACAACAGGGCTGTCAAACCGGTCCTTGTAGGGCCAGTGTGGCTGCAGGTTTTCATTCCAACCAATCAGGAGCACACCCGACTCCACCCATTTCCAGGTTAAGACTGGACTCACTTGAGGAAATGGGAAGAGTCGGGTGTGCTCCTGCTTGGTTGGAATGAAAACGTGTAACCACACAGGCCCTTTTTGGAACCAGTTGGATGCCCCTGATTTACTGCTGATTTACATTTCAAGTTTGCATTGCAATTTATTGTAGAACTATCACATTGATGGAGCATTATTTTGCATATTGATCTAAAACAGTTTTATATATAAACAGCTAAATTAGCTTCCGATGTTAAAAACTGTGCCGAGCTTAAGAGCCTTGGGCTAAATTCCCAACACTATAGGATTACTCTAATTTGCATGACTCAAAATAATGCTTGACATGGGGGAACTCCTCATGATAAAACCTCATGAATATTAAATTTACTGTGAAAAGTCCCATATGCGAAACCGTAAAACTCAAGAACTCAAGATCACTCAGCCTTGTACATTAGACACGTCACGTTCATACACAGACTCTGGTGTTTCCTTTGTGAGCGCACCCCTGAGGCGCTCTCTGAAACTGAACCAAACTAAACTTTTGAGCGTCGTGACAGGGTGAGAGGCCACAGCCGCGCTTATTATTACACTGTGTCTCTTTGACAGCACTGTCCCCATAGCGTCCGCCGCTCTGCACAACTACCTCGCTCCTGAGCTGCCCCCAATATCAACCACTTTAGATCTTTATAATGACAAGCCACTACATTGAATATTAATTGAGCCCCATGCCGAACATTGGAATATGCATTTACTGGCTGTGTACTTCTAAAGTTCTTGGATTTAAAATTGTATTTGTGGGAATCTGCAATGAGTTATTATTAAAGCTTTATTAAAGAATTCTTTCCTACAATAATTTGTTCCAGCTATATTCTTAAATGGTTTTGCTATAGCTCAGCGGTGTCTATTTTAGTAAGCGAGCCTCTTCAGTTAGCTAGACTGGTCCAGGAGTTGAATACCCATTTTACTGAATTCTTACGCCTAGTTTATACTCGCGCGGCGCGGAGCTTACGGAGGTGACGTGACGTCACTTGCGCAACGCGTTGGTCACCGCAAGGCCCTTACGTCGCCTGCCGCGCAGCATCGAAATTTTCTAACTACGTAAGGGTCGCTGCAAGGAATCTCCGCTGTGATTGGTCCGTGTGTGTGTATTGGAAGGAAGCACGGAGCGGCTGCAGCAGGGACAATGGACGAGGCACTATGGAGCAGAGAGCTTTGTGCTTCGAAGGAAAAGCAGTTTGGGCTCAGAGCCTGATATACAGGAGACAGTGGACTATCTAACATATATAACTTATAAACTGTGCAGTCGTTTGTTTTGCACTGTTCCTGTCTTTGTTTGAATCGTAGCTGCGTTTGTTGCTTTCCTCCTGCACTCGTAAATTGTTCATGTTTGTCTCAGATATTTACCACTATTATTGTTTTGCTGTTTGTGCTGAAAACTATTTAATAATAACTATGTTTCCAACAAGAACTGTGTCTTTATTCACAGCATCACAGTTGAAATTACTTATAAAATAATGAATCCATAAAACTATCACATAAACCTACAGTAGAAACACGTGTAATGAGCTCAAACAGCTTTGTTTGCTATTGTTGTTCTGAAGAGGACAAAGTAGCAGCGTAAATGGGACCGCTCCTGTGTGATCGCCCTCATGTGGTTTGTTGTGGGATTACAACATTCTCCTCAAAACTCCGTAAGGGGAACGCGCCAGTATAACATCAATTGTGCTTACGTAGGTCAACCGCAACCGCTAACGTAAGCCACGCCGCGTATACACGAGGCTTAACCATTCTGGTCCTGTATACAGTATATGACATTAAGGCAGTTCATTAGCTGGGCCACGTCTTGACCTTCTCCTCTTCAGCCAATCACAGCTCATCCTGCTGATTGCAATTAACATTTAAATTGCATTCTAGCGTCTTGTCTTCAACTAGTGATAACAGTGAATGAATTCTGATTCAATTCAATATATTATTGTATAGGCCTCAATCAAAACACTAGTTATCTCAAACCAAAACCATTGAATTCCCCAACACAGATCAGAGAATCAAACGGTTAAAACACAGGAAATGCAATGATAAAAATAACACACAGAGCCATTGGTTCATAAGGGGCAGATGTCCAATGTCCATAATTGTTGATAAATGTCCATGAATGTTGATGAATGGTGAGTATCCTGGATCCTCACCTCTGTCCTTGCATCTAAGGTTACGAGATCTTTACAAGACTTAAATGCATTTGATTTAAGATGGTGGCATCCAATTGTGTCCCTTCAAGTAAAGTTGTTCCACGTATGAACTCTGGCCGGATCAAGATTGTTGGACTTGTATTCATTCATCCAAGTCTCTCCATTGCCTTGCACCAAACAACATCTGTGTCATGATAGTGCAGTGGGGGGCCCTTCCTGATGCAGAAATATTAGGGCAACATGTTCTTGTGTGTCTGCCTGTCGCCTTTGTCTTTTGTTGTCTTAAAAATTATTAATGTTATATGTGTAGCTTCTTCCCTTTGTCGCCTTTTCCATTTCTCACACTTCTGATTCCTATAATCCAAGTTACAGATAGTCAACAACTATTTTCTCTCAGTGAAATGTAGGGCTTAATGTGGAGCACAGACACCGCTTGTGCTTCTGCAGATCACAATGATGTAAGACTAATAGTTGGACTGGAGTAGCGAGTCTCCCAATGTGTTTCCCATTGGAAAAACACATAACCTCTTTTGGTCAGTTCCAAAATGGGTTTGGTTCAATGTTAGTTATTTATTTGTTTTATTTTTGTTTGCTTTAGTGCTGTGTTTTACATGCCATAATAGCCCATATTAAAGATGCATTTAGCGATGTTGTTAGCTTAGCTGTAGCACCAACTCGAAACCACTCCCTCCTCGCCTCGCCTCTCCACCAAACCAAATATCCAGCATTTTCTTTTCTTTGTCACAACAAGGAGAGTGGGTGGCAAACGTGAAATTGGCATTTTCTGTTCAACCCTTTTAGGTTTTCGAAAATAATCCGATAACTAAGGTGCGCACACTCACGAGAAACAGGAAGAGGGTGAAGGGGGTAAACACATCCCATTGGTTCGTTGGGGATGACCGAATCCCATTGTTTTATTTTTATCGGTCCGCTCCAAAATAGTTTTTATTAATTTTTGGAGACTATAGGCATCTGGTCAATTCCAATACTATTTGAAAACACATGCTAACTTAACTACTTTTACGGTTTAGGGACGTTTTCCCACAATATTTAAAAAAAAAAATACATCTGGAAAATATCACTGACTGCACTGTCAACTTTTGAAAATCTTTATTTTTTTATTTTTTTACCACATATTCCCCAAGCCCCGGTTGAGAAACACTGGTTCAACCCATCCCTATACATATAACTGAACTATATAAGCATTCTTTTCAAGGATTGAGTGTACTGTGGTTATATATGCTGATACACTGATTTTTAAAGTTTCCTGGCTTATAAAACACACACAGAGCTTTACATATAACATGTCTTTGCCGATTTATGCTTAGATAATTTCCTAATCTTCTCCATGCATGTTTAATCACAGTGTGGCACTTGGCACTGCTGTGAAAATACTGTCCAAAGATAGTATGGTAATAATCCATAGAAACAGAAGGGCTTTATGTATGAGTGGAAGCCCCCCGCGATACACTCCA